AATGTAAGACTTCCTTGTTGATAATACTCTGTCATTAAAAATGTTGGAGGTTACCTTTCCTTTTTTAAATGTTTTTTTTGAAGAACTAGCCTGACACTGAAGCACAGAAACATCATAATTATCAACTTTTGAAAACGAAACAGAGATTACTCTGAACATTAGTTCATTTTATCATAATTTCCCCAGCATTTAACTTAAAGGTACCCTGTGGAGTTTTTGACCACTAGTAGTAATATAGAGCATGCATGTCTGTATTAATGGGTCCCTGTTTTGTTTGTTCTCACCAAAGAGCTCACTAATACAAAAAGAAAAGAACTCAACACATTTGTCAGGTCTCATGGATATACACAGTCCAGTTACAGAAACTGTTTTAAAGAAAACTCCACATGGCACCTTTCAATCACTCCCATGTCAGAAATTCTACCTTGCATTTTCCATTTGAATGGAGCAGAAGTTATGTGCCCTGTTTGTGTCATAAATAAACACATGAACGGTACACTACTCATGACTAATGACTAGTGCTAATGCAGAGATATTGGCTATATTCAAGCCAACAGTTCACTTTAGTTGAAAAATTGTGAGAATGATGAATTAAGTGCAAAGCAGCTGCTATTTGTGCTTATGTGTATAATATAGCTTTCTTGAACAGTATGAGAATAAACAAAGGAATAGTTAAAAGGGCAGAGTTGCTCGCAGGTGTAATTGAAGTATTCACATGTAGATGTGAGTGGGTGTGCGTTTCAAAATCATGACTCATTTTGTTTTTAATTGTTCTGTGAAGACAATATCACTGCCTAAAAAGCTACACATAATATGTTCTAATTATATTTTCAGGATTATTACTTGCACCTTTAACCAAACACACACAGTCTTATTTTAGTGGCGTGATTTTTCTGAAAGCCCATTGTACATTAATTGCCACACAAAAATAGAACACCAAAATAGAAATCATGATTTTGTCCTATTAAACATGGTGACATTTGAATAAGCAATAAACAAATGTCTTGAGGTAAGTGGTGAGACGCAAGACAGCTTTTTCTAGTGTGGTTTAGCAAAAACAGAAAGTAGCTCTAAGGAATTCTAAAAAATTGTTTATTTAGTTTTTGTATAGCCAGAGGGAAATTCTGTCAACTGTTTACTTGTACAATTTGCAAAGACAAAAATGTGTGGATGAGCTCAGTGTAATGTTTTAATGGTGCTTTAAAATAAATTAAAATACTGTAAATGATGGGGCCAAAAACGCTGACTACTATATAAATCACCAATCTGACCTGAACTCCTGTGTGGTTGTTGTTTTCAAAAAGGCTACTTCAAAATAATCATATACAGTAACACATTTCAAAATACGGTAATAATAAAAAATGGGTATTTTGTTTGACAACACAAGCTTCAGAATAACCATTTGCTTGCTGCGTAGAACAAAGTGCCATTTGTTTCAAGGGGCATTTACAGCGGATACAGAGAAATGATAACAGGGCTGCAGACAACATGCCTTAATCTTGCTGAAGCATTTGCTCACACTTTGTAGCTGCACATGGAGAAAAGGCTTTGTTGGTAACCTATAGCAGAGCTGGTAAGCCTGCACTCAGTCATCACACTTTAAGAACTGCACATAGCTCTTGAGTTTGGGGCAACTGGGGTTAATAACCTGAGGAGAAGATATCAAGTATGATGTCAATAGAGCAAGTATTCACACCTGATCTTCTTTCCAGGTATGAAGATAAGTAGTACTCCTGTACACAGAGGAACAGCTCTGTAAAATAACATGTAAATGTAGTGCAGACAAACCATCTGAAACACTGTCAAATCTGTTGTTCTGTGAAGACCCCATGGGTCTATCCTAGGTCTGTCATCATTCCCTGTTAACTGTACAGGCAGTTGTTTTGTTATTGTAAAGCACTTCTGAAAATGCTATATATTGTAAATAGCTATCATGAGTTAATGCATTATCAAAAAGAAGTGTTCAAGTAATGATGACATGGGCAGTGAATTGCCCTTTTTAAATGGGATTTTAGTTCTGCAAAGACAATTTTAGGAGATGAAAAAGGGTTCATGCCAGATCACAAATATAAAAAAGTACTTTGGATGATCCTGATGGCACCATATGGAAATGTTCTTGTACAGGTCAAAAGGCAAATAGTCCAGGACTTGAAGGCAGAGAAATGCCAGATATTTAAACATACTTGACAGCTGCAACCAACATTGACCTTCAAGGGGCCTTTGGCTGGCTGCAGGGATTGTGTAGTTCAAAATAATCCTCCCCTGTCAAACATCACTCAAGCTGAACTGTAGCACAAATCATCATGCATCTTAGTTTTCCTCCAATTTCAGGAAAGATGGACAGACTCCTGGAAATTGGTATGTTAACCTGTAGCCATTAAATTTGTTAATATTTTCCACTACTGTAGAGCTCAAACACTGGTGGATTTGGGTAATTAAATGTCCTTAGAGCCGGTTGATGTGAAATGTTCTTACACCTTTTTACACCTTTACATGTGAGTAAGAACACTTTGGGGGACTGAGTGCTGGGTGGTGGAGGCTGCTATAGAGTTAGGAGCAGAGCGGGAGGACTAATCAGAACAAATCCAGATCACAGAATGTCATCCAAGGGGTTCAATCTTGGACTTCTAATGACACTGGCCTTCTATGAATACACTCAATTATGTGAAATGATCTCTTTAATAAAGTCCTCAATCAAAGTCACAGAGCCCCTAATAAGAAAGTCCCGGGTATTACATAAAATCACCAATAACTCTGACTGGAGATATATTTTGATAATTATGAAAAATATGTAAATGGTTCCTTTAATTCACTCTGTTTTGGTTTATTTACAACAGATTAAAAGAGCCACAGCCCTCTTCTTTTAAGTAGATTGAACACCATTTGTGAAAGGTTATGAACATGTCACACAGCATTTGGGTGAAGGAGAGTGATGATCATAAAGATGAATTTGACAGATTCTGCTTTCAATCTAATCTGGCTGTTATAGCGTCTCTGGTCTGTTTTGGAATTAAAGTTCTGCCTGACTGAATGTAAACAAAAAGCAGATTAGGGCTAAGGTTTGGATACATATGTTTCAGGGGATGGTTGGGTCAAACATGATGTGAACACAAAATTCTCAGCATGTTCTTTTGATAAATGTGTGCATGGAACATTAAGTTTCCCAATATGTTTCAAAGCATTCAAATGGGGGGGCAGAGACCATTATCCTGCTGTGGTATATCCTTGGGAAAGAAAAACAAATATATATTTAGTCTACATGCAGTATCTGTAAAATTAGCAATTTGCTTTTATCTGAAATCAAAGAGATGCTCACAAATCTATTAAACGCTACCTTTTGTTTTTTTACAATGCATCATACAGGGACCAAAGCAAGCTTTCCCAGCAAAATGTTGACTTTTGTTTTGAACAAATATAGACTTTTTTAATTTACTTGCTGCAATGTTGAAGCTAATTTGTATTTAGTAAAGTGCAGTCCTTGATGAGCTGTTCCCCAGATGCTTGGAGCCCCAGTTTGTATCATGAACTAGCATAAAATCCTTGAATTTAAATAAACTCAAGGGCCTTGCACTTTCCAGAGATTGTCGACGGCTCGGTACACTGAGATTAAAATAGAGGTCTCTGTGGCATGGACTACTCTGTTCTATAGGATGACAGCATTTTGTAAGTCTTCTTATTTATGTAAAATACAGTTCTATAAAAAAAGGTCTAGTTCTGGATCCATTGTCCTGCCACACTTCTGAAGGCTTGGGGCCAGGCAGCCTTATGGCTACATTAAATGCAATGATGCAACTTTTTTACAGTATTGCAAAAATTACCATTGTATTAAATAGTATTTTTTGTGGTATTAAATGGTACAGCCATGACACTGTTGAAGAACTTTTAAGTTCAAAAACTGCTCAAAATGTTAACATGATAAGTAAGCATTAATGAATGGGAAGACAACCTGGTCTAGCTGCCGTTCATTGAGCCCCCTTAGTTTTGCTATGGCAGCATGGCACATTAAATAGCGTACAACATGACTGAAAGACACCAAAAATGAAGAGTAACTGTCAAGGAATGACTTATCCAAACACCAGAGCTTGACAATAACCAGGCTGTGCTTTCCAGGCCTCCTCATACTGTGACCTCTTGGGCCCATTCAAGGTGATGGTAAAATGTTAAGAGCAATAAGCTGACCCACGTGTTTAAAAAGGGCCATATTCCTGACAATAAAGTGGAACGTGAGTTTGACTGGCTTATTAAAGTTATGTCAATCATGAAAATACTGTATATACCAAAAAAAAAAAAAAAACATATTCAAAAGGAACTAAGGCTAAAATCAAAGCTTGTACCATTCAAATATTTACCACTCAATCTATGCTTCAACCCTCAACTATAGTCAAAGACTTTGAGTTGTGTATAAAAGTCTAGAATTTTGAATACAAATGGACAAAACTAGCTTACTTCCCATGGTGTCTGGACTCACCCTTTGGCAGAGGAGTTCAAAAATCCTATAATGTTTTAAAGTAAAACTGCTACATTTTTGACAAAACCCAGTCGAGGTGGTTCAAGCATTCAATCAGAATGCCTCCCAGACTTGCCTCTATGGAGGTATTCCAGACATATCTGAGTAAGAGGACGTCCCAGGAAAAACCTAGTACACACTGAGCGGGATTAAATATTCCAACTGGCCTGGGAATGCCTCAGGACATTCAAGAAGGAGCTAGGAAATGTGGAATTGGATGCCTGGGCTACTCTTCTTTACCTACTGCCACCAACTCGACAGTGAAACATGACAGAGACTGGTGAAAAGAATGAAGGGATGAAAGGGTGGATGGATAAATGAACTGACTGATTGTTACCTCAGCCACAACTAATGTATGTGTGTAAACAGGGAAAATGTTTTTAATTATTTACATTTTTATCAGTTAGAAATATGCCTTCATTTAAACTATAATTACAATAAGTAAGAATTAGCTTATTGAGTGCGTTTAGAAGTATTGTGTAAAAGACCTTACCTTTGGTGGAACAGCTGGTCCAGCATAGGGAGCCAAGCTTGGTGGTACATCTGTGATGTAGGTCTTCTTGGGGCCTGGAGGCTGGTATGCTTGGGTGGGTGCAGGGTCAGGTCTCCTGGAGCTGAGGCTACCTACTTGGTGTACTCCTGAATGGGGCTGCTCTTGATATGCACCCTGGGTCATCGGGGAGAAGCCAGGCTGTGGCGGTCCATAGGCAAAGTCAGGACCTTTGGGCTGAGCAGGCATGTACTGCACCTGTGTAGGGCTACGTGATGGCTGCTGGCCAAAATGGAGGCTACCTGGGGGTGGATGCTGGGGCCCGGGCTGGGCAGACCTCACCTGGACATTGAAGGTGGGCTGACTTGGGGTTGAAGCTGTAGCATAGGAGGCTGGGACAGGCTGAGGAGCCATGTGGCTTTGAGGCTTGGCCACTGGGCTGACAGAGGAAGGTGGGACAGCAGAGACTCCCCCAGGGGCTTGAGGTTTGGGTATTGACTTTTTGGTGGCAGTCAGAGGTGGCTGAGTTGGAATGACCATTCGTTTGTAACCAGTTACTGGAGCACTGGGAGTGGTGGCTACTGAGGATCCAGAGTTCTGAAATACAGTGGAAAAAATTTACTCCAGTTAAAACAAATAACTGTCACTGCTGCCGTACGACAGACACACTGAACTGTATGTACTGGAAATTGACATCTAAAATATAATAAGACAACAAAGTTAAAAACTAACATCAGCATGTCAACATAAGGTGCTTTCGGACCCAACAGTTCTAGGGACTTAGCTCCAGGGATTGCACAAATAGTTTCCCCCTTTTTCATTTTAAATGAAATCTTGTGTGTGTAAAAGGTTTTTCATGTTCAAAAAAATAAATATTAACATTTGAAGCTGAGGAATTTCCCTTTATAAATATTAAACATATTATTTTAATATATACTGACAACAACACAATGCTAATTTTAGAATATATATAAAGTAATGTTAGTGAGCATTCATTGTAGTTCTTCACAGGACATAAATTTAGTTGCAGCTGTTAAAGCCATCTTGTACCAAGGAAGTACAAAGACAACATTACAGGGCAGTTTCCAGTAGCTTTGTTAGATACTAGTTGTATGGGGCAAGACACTGAATTTAATACTAACCTTCATCATGGTCTGCATTATTTTTTTTTATTATGAAAAATATTGACCTAGACATTAAAATGTATTACAGATACACAGCAAAATTCCACCATGAATGGGTTTGTCGAACTGGAAAAAATATGAGCATCTGAAGAATTTTTACTCTTATACAATGCATGCTAGCTCAAAGTGTGAAACAGTAAATGGTAAATATGTGTAAAAGTATTATGAAATTGTAACTATTTTAACAGACTTTATGTGGAAATGGGAATTTTTTTTAAAATGTGAACTTTATGATAATTCACCACTACAGGATTTTCTTGGTATTTTAATTCTGGCATGTAATTTCAGAGTACATTTTTGTAATTCTATTACCATATTATTGTATGCTGGAAATAAAGGGAAGATCTGTAAAATATACAGGAAAATTATGTGAAACTATGAGCTTTTTTTACTGTGTAAAGTGGGAGCTAAAAAGTACCTCAAAACAGCATTCTAAGAACTATTCTCATTCTCTGTTCCTGTGATGTGGACACACAAAAAAGGGGGAAGTCTAATAGTTCTTTGAACTATGAAAAAGTTCTTCTCACAATTACAATGCAAACAGTTTTATGTTAAGCAGATACCCAATACCTAACATAAATATTTTTACTGTTTACTATCTTAGTTTAGCATGTTATCATGCTAACATTTGGGGATTAACAACACAAGCAAGGCGAATGGGAATGTAGGAAGGAAGCAGGAATTTAGTCAGGAATCAAAGTAGTAAGCTACCTGAATTTCTGACCTGATGGTGGTGCTAATTAAAAACTCAGGGGATAACGAAAGTTATTATACTTTATCCTTGATAAATTAAATCTTGCTGAACGGTGAAAATACAACCTTTGTATTCAACAGCTACTCACTGAGAGTGTGCTTTACACTTAAATGATTATCCACCCTGCCTTCCGAAGTCAATTACAAGGTTAGCTCGACAGCAGAGGCTCTACACTGTCTGCGACCACCCCATAATCTATGGCTAATAAAGCACGAGGGCACGGGATAAATTGTTTGGCAGAGAGCACCATGACAGCAGATTGGCAATGGCACATGACACTTGTGCTGACTCTGGCTGCTTAGATGGGAAAGATGTTAAATCACTGAGATTTGTGACGCTGGTGTTCCTGGGAAGAGTCGACCGTAAAGCAGCAACACAACCCAGTGCTGCAGTTCCCATGTGTGAACAACTGTGGCATTTTGATCTAATGCCCATTTGATGCATGGGCCAAACAACAACAAAATATAGCAGCGAATAACACACAGAATAAGAATGTTTCACTCAGATGTCAGAGGCTTCTGCCCTGATAATCTCTCATGTAAGTAATAATTGTTTTACACTACAGCTACATATCGGTGTCAGGCGTTCAGCCAGTCTAAAAAGGGTCTATCATTAACCTTGGACGGCCTTATTAGGTTACTGCCTGAAGCCAAAAATCAGAGTCAATTACTAAATTTGCAGCACTAGGGGAACAAAAGTGAACACTTGTAGTCTTTAGACCCTTTGCAACTCATTTTGATGTCTTCTAAATTGGGGCAGAGCATCAATTCCAATCAATTTCCCTTAAAAGTTGATCAAAGCCTGCTGCGTAGAAATGCCACATATAGCTGTGTTTTACACAACTACAGTATATGTAGCTATTACAGTCACTTGTTATTTATACAGTAACTTATACTGAATTTTAAAAACACTTAGGTTGTAATCTATCAGTGAAAAAGCATTCGGTACTGTAACTCCAACACTGAGATAAGAAGAATTCCAAGTTTTGGTAAAAGAGGTACATGCATCAAGTTTGTCTAAATCCCATCTAATCCAAGTCAGAGGGGAGCCCCTAAGAAAGCTCCAGAAAATATTTTCTGCTCTCACTCTGATTTCTGTCTCAATGATTAGTGCTGATGTTTATTTAAAAAGTGTGTCTGCCTGCATATGTATGCAAAAATTTCCACTATGCCCTTTAGGAAGTGAAATTACTTAATTTAAATGTTTCATGGGTTTTAAATACTCTAGATTATTAATTTATCTTTAAGGCCTTGGAACCTACAGTGACATTTAGTTAGCAGAGCACTGGAAATGCAAATTGGTTCCCTCAAAATAATTACACTGTCATGGTACATTTTCCACAAATTACATTAAGAGAATGGATTCACCCCTTTCAAAGGCCGATGAAACGAATCAAATGCATAAAATCGGAGTCAAAATGCCTGTGCAGTGGGAAAGATTTCCATATCAACTAAAATCTCTTTGTGGTTGCTGTATGTTTTTGACCTGTCAGTGTTAATGACTGTGGTCTGAGATGATATAATAACTAGTTAGTGAAGACATTAATAGGTAAGACAGGAACAATATGTACCCATAAATTTTACTTTCTTGTTCAGGACTGAGTTTCAAGTCGTTTTCCCATGTTCTATAGTAACTCAGTTGTATATTCTGGTTCAATGCATAATTTAAACATTATTTTGAAAAGGTATTTACTGTAAGCACTTTGTAATTTGCAATTTTCAATGTTACTATGCTATTACATCATGTCAAATTATTCAGTTTTAAAAGAAACTTGTTATATATTTTCTTACATGCAAAACCTCTTCACAGCACAAAATCACTGTATCTCTTTATAATATAAAAACGTTATGTTCAACGCAACAACCAGTTTCCATTGTTTTATTCTGCACATAAAACACCTCATAAATACCTTGTTTACTAAATTTGTTTTCAATTTGTGTCTGACCTAACAATTTTTTAAAACGTTTATCATTTTATTGATTGAATATTATTTCCTGTTACCTATTTTCAAACACAAATTACAATAGCATTAAAATTAGATGTACACATCATTAATGATGACAAGGCTCATTTACATACACACCTAAAAATAGTTGACTTAGCCACATAGTCACTTTAATACTTGTGTAGCTGCCCGTATGAGGCACAGTCTGAAATCTAGAAGTCTGACCTTCCACGCAGCACCAGTGTCAGTGCACACTTTGTTGTTGTTTCTAACACCCCCTCCACACACAAACAGTTTTAGAGAAAGTTTTCCATAACCCCTTCAGAAAAGTTAACCCTCACTCTACACTGTAATTCAGACTGACTTTGCAAACAACTTAAGTGTGAAATTTCACAGAGACTCTCAAGAAAGCATTTTGACACATTAAAAAAGATTAGGAGAGACTATACAAGCCTGGGGGGTGGGGGGTAAAACTGTTAACTTTGCATTTCAAACCAAGAGTGTGGGGGATTTTTTTAAAAGCAAGCTTGGGGAAACCCCTAAAGAGGGAGAAGTTCTGCATCTTTCAGACCTTAGATATTTTTCTCTCGACTTTTTCCTGCTCTTTCTTCATATAAAGCTGATGCTTTTTACTCTTGGCTCTGCTGTCCATTGGCATCTGTCTGTCTCACCTCTTACTGAACACTACGACCATGGAAGGATCCCCCGTCAACAAACACTATTTGTCTCCACAATAGTCACGTTTAACAAACTGACAGCCTCAGTGTAGTCATACATTTGAGCATATCAATTCCCTTCCTACAATAGTCCAAGAAAAGTAAATTAAATATAATTGTCTCTGTGAAACATGGTGAAACCTCAAGCTTCCTTGAACTATTTTTCCTTTAACAATTCATGCAACAAAATTCACCAGTGACAGAAAAAGCATGAGCAATATATCAAATAACTATTGAACAAGTAGAACAACACGAACTTGCAGAAAAATAACATCTTCACCATCCCTGCAGTCAACTCGCCTGGTCCCCCGTTAACCCACTAACGCCATACGGTGCTCGTTCTGCTGACTATAGTGAGCTGTGGTGAATGAGAAGGGGAAAAAACTAACTTTGGGTAGTAAATGGATGTGATGGTTGAGTCTAATGAACTATGTGCATGAAAATGAGCTGAATTCTTGTGGGCTTGTAGGCTGAACAGCTCCTGTACCAGCAGTGTCTGTCCAGCAGCAGAGGACAGGATGATGTCTCACACAGTGGCCAGTTTATTGCAAAAGCATGCACTCTTTTCCAATTACAATGTTAAACTGCTGACTGTGACATTATGAGCTCCTAGAAAGGTTAAGAAACACAGTATTTGCTACATTATGTTGTGTAGCACTGAAAAGCAGTCACTTCCACTTTACGTCATTGGAGTGGTGGCAGGTATAAAGTTTTACATTTATTTGTGCACATCAGCAGCTGCCTTACATTCTATATTTTATTTAATCACAATCAAAAAGTAAAAGAGTCCATGAAAATAAAATGCACTCTAAAATCACTGCACTTTATGGCAATTACATTTTTTATAAGAAAAGTATTATTACTTTGATTATAATTATCAAATACTCGGTATCGGCGAGTACTCAAATGTACCCGACTAGAAATGAGTGGCATCGGTGCAGCCCTATCACGCACTGCAAACAATGCACTCGGAGCAAAAAAAATGTTACAGATCCCAC